AAGCAATCACTAAACTCAAACTTGTCTCCTAGGTGTTTTGCAGTTCCTTGAAATGTTTAATCCACGGTGACATCAACGATAAAACTAAACAAAAGGGAAGAGGGTAGCACTGACGAATCCTGTAAGAAATCGTCAAGCTGTAAAATCCTTCCGGTGCCTAGCTGCCATGCCACCCGGAAAAAGCACGAGGGCTGGAATAGTGCCAGACTGCTCAAGCCTACACAAGGGTCGAGTGGTAGAGGTCGGATTCGAACCACGGACCTTCCGGTCAGTGAATTCGCGCTCTAACGACTTGAGCCATCTCGCCCTAACCACTTAAGCCATCTAGCCCACGAACCCTGTCAGCTGTAGGAAAATTTGGATTATTCATTGTAATACCAGACACGACCAAGAGTGTTGGATTAATGCAACACTACACCACTTGATCACTGAGGCGTGTCAAAGTTTTGGGAACAAAATTCAAAAAAGACGAAACCGGGCTAATGTTTAAGCCGGCTAGCGTTGTCAAGGATGCCGGTCCCGAGCATACTTTATCTCGACAAGTTATCAAGCGAAACTTAGCGTGCGGATCGACCATGAAACCTGATGGACAGGGGAGGCTAAAGAAATGGAAGTGGTGTAAATGCATGAAAACAGTCTCGACTGATCCGGAACACGAAAACCACCGCGGAGTGGAACGATCAAGGGTTAAACCGGAGCGCCCAACATCAAGTGTTGCGTGTTTTTTCTTCACATTCCATGCAGAATCCGAATCATATATTTGGAGCAAAAGAAAAACTCTGTGTACACTCCATCGAGAAAAAAATGCGAATATCGTTCCATGTACGCCCTTGGTCCGCTAGTGAAACAGCTGACTTTCGGGACCAGAGCGGAGGAGATATCCTCACAGAAGCATAGACCAGATAAATGTCCATCCAAATTACGTTTGAAAATTTGAACTGTTTCTGACTGAACGACATTTGCCGGTAAACGATTCCAAAATGACAACGCGGCGAGAGAAACTGTACCCATGAGGCACATTGTCCATGCGTGTGACAGTAAGTTTAAATCGATGTCCTCGGGTGATGTTGGTTG